GATGGTCCTGTCGGGCGGCTTCTGAAGCGGAGAAAACGGTACCACTCTAGATTTTGAGTCTCATAACTTGATTGTGGAGTCAATTACAGGCCCGGTCTATTACCATCTGTACCGAGAACAATTAGTGCCTCTGTCAAAGAGTCACTTTTGGAAGGCTGGTTACAAGCTGCAAAGACCGCTGGCAGTACCATGGACTATCGCGGATTGTTGATGACCTACGTTCAGCAGCTTGTGCGAAATCGTGAGTTTCATTTTTTGCTGCTGCAGACTTATTTTGGAGAATTTCAGTGACATTTCTGTTACAGGCTCCACCTCCAAGCTTTCCGACATCTTAACAGAATTAAGGGAGCAAGGTTATATTTGCGGGACCTTACGAAGTGCACTAAGAGAAGATGTTGAAAAGATAATTGCTTCCGATCCTGTGACTTCATCGCTGATCAAATCTAAGGAAACCGACAGCTTAGTGTTCTGAATGTTAATCTTCATTCTGATCTCCCTATTTTGTAAATTTTTTTCGGGTCCAATAATCACATGTACTACTGCCAGGTGATTTTTCATGTTGCATCACCGGCTTTTCGCTTTGTAAACAGTTTACATGTACAAAGTGCTAATCTCACCGATAAGAAGCATCTCAAATTTGACTCATTTTTTTTGCTGTGGAAGTCACATGTTTTATGTTAGTTTGGATCTGTTTCTGGAATGATAAATAGTTGTCTCCTTCATAGTCGTTTGTTCCGGCTCAAGCCGTCTTTCCGCCAGCTGGTATTTATTTGGAAACAGACATCTCCGCGCATTCCTATCGAACACGGTTTGGAAGAGTAGTTTTGTACCGATGCCGTTGCTTTGTCTGATGCGGTGATTGCACCATTATTTCGTATTTCGACTGAGATAGATGAAAAGCCCTGCTCGCTGAACGTAGAAGCTATAGCCTACAAAAATTTCGTGCTTTTTCCGTGTTAAGGTTAGACTTTCACTTGTCATTCGCCCAGGCACTAGTATGGATGAAGAGGTGGAAGTTCGTGTGTTGTTTTTTGGCAAAGCTCGTGAACTCATGGATCGAGAAGAGATAAAGGCACGACTTCCGCGAGTACTGCCGTATGAGAAACTTCGGGAGCTAATTTTCACCGAGGTTAGACAGTAAACTTCTGAGAATGAGTGAAAGAAGATGTCTTTAGCTTTTCGGAGTTTTGGAATGCATCTCAGCGTCATGCGTACTGGCTGTGGATCTCAGGTAAGTTCAAGCTTTTAACCAATTTGCTTCGTATAGATGCGATAGTAATCGTTATTGGTCACCGGCAATGATCTTCTGCCGGACGAAGGCGCAAAGAGAATTTTAGTTGAGCGAGGACGATCGCGCATGCGTAGAAGCTTTCTTAAAGGCAGTGTCTCGGCAGATTTGAGGTTGGTGAGT